TGGTCCAAGTCCTTAAAAATCATTTTCTTATTTAAATGCTGTGATACTTTTTGAGTTCCTACACGTGCCTAGCACTGGTTTAATGAAAGGGCACACAACAGACTAGTCCCTGCCCTACTGGAACCTCTACATTATCTGAAAGATATGGAATAGAAATGTGAAGTGTGCATGGTCCCTGAACATTAGATTCCACTGGGAATCATGAGTCCTCCCCTGTACATCCTGCCATCGAGTGCTCCGTCTGGCAGGGGTCGTGTGGGGAGAAAAGCATCCTGATGGACAGAGGGCAGGCATGGGGGCATTCTATTGTTCAGTCTTGTTCTCCTGCTCCCAGCTCATTATATATATATATGTATATATATATATGTGTGTATATATATATATATACACACACACATATATGTGTATATACACACACACATATATGTGTATATATGCACACATATATACATGTATGTATGTATGTATATATATATATATATTATATATATATATATATATATATATATAATAGCTTGGTCCTAATGAGGTTGTAGTTTTCACCAATTTTGTGGTGATTTACAGAATCTCAGGCCGGCTTCAGCCTCATCACTCGTCAGTAGACCTCAGAGGGGTCACCAGCAGAGGTGACCAGGATCAAGGTCAAAACCCCAACTCAGTCTAATACATGCTTAGATCTCAGAAAAGTTCCTGAACCTCCCTGGGCTCATTTTCCTCATCAGTAAAATGAGTATCTTGTTACCTGCTCTGGTTACTTTACCACATTGTAAGAAGGCCCCAAATCATAGTGAGGTTAGGTGCATCAAAGTGCTTTTTAAGTGAGTAAGGATTCTACAATGGTAGTGTGTGGTTTTCACTGCTATAATAGCTAACATTGAGTGTTTGTTTGGGACCAGTATGGTTTAGGTATAGCCTATCAAATAAACCTTGCAAGAACTCTATAAGATGTGAATTATCATTTCCCATTTTAGAGATGAGGAAATGATGCCGACAGACTGAGTTACTTCCCTAAGGTATGATAACCACTGTCAGAGCTTAAGTTGAAACACGGGGCTTGCTGGCTGACCAGAGTTCATGTTTAACCATCGTGCTTTACTGCCATCTGGAAGTAAGAGGCTTAGATTCTGGTCCTGGCTGTGCTTTCTATAATCTTGGGCAAGTTTGCCCGTCTATAAAATGGAACAGAGAAGGAAGTCGTTTTGTAAACTCTAATGTCTGAAGAGTAGGTGGCGGGGGGGGGGGGGGGGTGTCCCCTCCCCACCATGGAATGGTTTGGAGCCATCCTGGAAGACAGTTTAGGGTTTAATGGGGAGGATCCCTGTCTCTAGGAGCCAAAGAAGGTAGTGAATGGAGCAGAAGCAGGAAGACTGAGGAAGAGGACTCTGCCCTTCCACATGCCAGGCACAGTGCCTCATGCCCAGCAGAAACTCCAGCCTGCAGAAGTGATTGCCCCTGGCTTGGCCCTGCTCCTCTGGATTATTGATTGAGGTGATTCTTCCACAGAGCCCTTAAGGAGACCATCTATGGTCAACGGATAGCAATGGTGACATTTCACGAGCACTTCCTATCTGCTGGGTGCTGTGCTTGGGCTACAAGGACCAATAAATCCAGTCAGAACCCTTCTCAAGGAGTTCACAGTCTCTCTGGGGAGACAGACATGTAAACAGCTAATGCTAATGCAAGTACACATGAATATTCAATAGGTAGAAAACACAGCTCTCGTGCTCTGGGAGCAAAGAGGGAACATTTGCCAGAAACCTTGAAAGTAGTGTAGGAGAGGAGGGGAAGGGCATTCCACCGAAAGAACAGTGTGAGCCATGCCATGAGGGATGACGTGCTGGGCTCATTCTCTGAAGGGCAGCCCAGTGAGGTTAACTCCAAGCAAGTCCCAAGGGAGACGGCAATGAGGCTTGAAAAGCAGGTTGGGGTTTAGAGCCAGACCATGGGGGCCTTGAATGCCAGGATGAGGAGTGAGGTCGCCTGAGGGAGGTGGTATGTGAGCCCTGGGGACTCATAAATGGGGCCAATTGAGGGGGTGGGTGACTCCCACGGAGAGAATGTGCCCTGAGTTCACTCTTCAAGCAGCATCTTGCCCTCGAAGATTTCCCAGCTTGGCAGTTCCAGCTCTACTATCCTTCCCTCCCCCAGCCAGCCCTGTAAGTGGATCCAGATGGTCATTCCTATTTTAGGTCGGTGTGTGTGTTGAGGGGAGGGGCAGCTGTGAGCCCTGTCAATCCTTTCCTGAGCTGTCTGTTAGAGGAGCTTCTTCCAGGACCCTGCTGTGATCCTCTGAGCCTGGAAGGAAGTGTTGGTCTTTGATGGAGATTTCCCATCTGTCTGTGGGTGATAGAGGTGGCAGCAGCAAGGGAGGCAAGTCACAGGCCAGGGAGGCTTTTTTATTGGGTGAGAACACCCAAGTGATGTGTGCATGTGAGAGGGGGCCTGTGGACAGGCTGAGGGGTTGGGGGAGAAACCTGGGAGAGACATCCCAAAGGAGTCATAGGAGCTGGCTTCTTCCTCCAGGTACCTGGCCCTCTTCATGACTCTGCTTCTGTAGCTGCCTAGGCTAAGGAGCTAAGGACCTCTGATCAGACACTACTCCTAACTACATGCCCAGCAGCCTCCATGGTCCTCTTTAAGAAGCTTGGGACACCAAAAAGTAGCAGGTGATAAGCTAGGCTCCTGCCCTGGGACTGTCTGTAGCCAGCCTATGATACCAAGCTTGTGTGTGCCATTCATTCATTTTTTGCAAATGCTATGTGCTAGACACTCCTAGGCACTAGGTTTACAGAAGTAAACAAGACAAATATAGTCTCTGCCCTCAAAGACTTTCCAGCCTAGTGGGGGAATTCAGCAATACATAGCTACAAATGTACTATAAAGGAAAAGAACAGGGTATTCCAAGGGAGATTAACAGGGACTTTCTGATTTAGGGAAGGACTCTCCAAGAAAGCCACATTTAATCTGAGACTTGAAGGATAAATAGAAGTTAGCCAGTTTAAGGAGGTGAGGAACATTCAGCAGACGAATGTGTGCCAAGTCCTTGGGGGCATGAAAGCGTGTGGCACATGAGAGGAACTGAAAAAAAGGCCAGGGTGGCTGCAGTGTAAGTGAACAAGTAAGACAAAGGGCATGACGCGGGGCCTTGTAAGCCACGGTAAGAGATTTGTGTTTTAGCCTAAGTGCAATGAGAAGCCACTGAAGGTTGTCAGCGTAAATGTGGTACTTGTGTTAGTGCTATCAAATTTGTGGCAGACCCTAAGAAAGACTTCTTTGATTGTTTATTCCTCCATATGTACAATAAATGATTAAAGGGCACCCACCATCACTGACGGAGGAATGTATAAGGCAAAGACCTTCCTCGGAGCTTGTAATCCAGAAGAGATTAGCTATAATGACTGAATCAGGAAGTAGTGTAACTTACTCATTCAACAAACATATACTGCACACTGAATCTATTCCAAACCCTGTGCTAGATGCTGGTTGCTGTTCTTCAAGGATCACACACTACACGTGGATCATGGGAGAAGCACAAACCCACTCAAAATGTTTTTACTAGGTTAGAATCATCATCAGCTGTGATCTCTGTAAGGCCTTTTTCTGTTAATTTATTTTTTAAATGTGTGTGTTTATTTATTTAAAAAGTGCAAGTGAGGGAGGGGCAGACAGAGGGAAAGGGGATCCCAAGCAGGCTCCAGGAGGCTCAATATCACAAATCGTGAGATCATGACCTGAGGGGAAACCAAGTCTGATATTTAACCGACTGAGCCACCCAGGCGCCCCTGTAAGGCCTTTATAAAACACCCATTCAATCATTAAATCAATAAACATCTAGTGGACATCTGTACTAGAAACTATATTAGCTCATTGAAATCAGGACCTTAGAGTTCCATGAGACATAACCCCCAAAATGTATTAAAATATTAGCTGTTAGAAACAGGAAGGATAGCAGGCTTTTTATAGATCAGCATGGGGGGGGGGGGGTAATTCAATGGAAGAAAAATACATTCCCAAAAAGGCATAGCTCCCACTTTTCTGATTTTGTCCCTACTTCCCTCTAGCATGATTTTTAGCTGCTGCCTTTCTTCTTGACCCTACATTTCCCCTTCCCATCCCAGCAGATTCCATTTTCTTTGGCTATCTTGGCATCTTTTAAAAGCCCAATGTATCCATGATTTAAGCCTATCTTCTTTATATTGGTGTGTGATCTCAGACAATTGGTTAACTTCCCTAAGCCTCAGTTTTCCATTTGCACAATGAAGGGATCGGATCAAATCTAAGGTTTGTGATTTGTTTCAGCCAAGGTGATATTCACATTCCTGCACACTGCGCTCTGCAAAGCCTTTTTCTTTCTTTGCACGGCTGCACGCATCCCTGCACCCCCACCCCCGTGCCACCTGGCAAACCTCAAGACAGCTCAAATATCTCCCGGCAAGTCTCCCCTGCTTATACACACACCACGCACAGCGTTTTAGTCTGTCCTTCCTCTACCCTACCACTACCTCGTCAGAGACCACAATGAAAAGGACATGGGAGATAGACTTGAGTTTGAGTCGTGGCCACTCACCTCACCTCATGAGCCTCAGTTTCTCAGTTGTAACCTGAGGGAAATAACCCAAATTCGCATGTTTGACCAGTTTATGGGGATTAAAAGCAAAACATTGTATGTCAAGTGCTTGGCACCTAGGAAGTGTTCAATAAATAGTGACTATATCACACCTCCTGGGAGGCCTCAGCGTACTGAATTATGAATTCCTTGTTCAGTCTCTCGCGCTAGACTCCGCGCTGCCTGAGGGCATCCCTTCCGCAGCAGTGCAGTGTAGGCGCAAACACTCCGGGCTGACGGGCGCCGAGACCGGGAGTCAGGCGGGCCCGGCCCGGAGGGATACGGTTCCAATTCCCCGGGGGAAGGCGAAGCCAGCGGACCTCACCTGCCGGAAGTGACGCCACGGGGCGAGCAGCGCCGGAGCAGGGGCCTGCCGGAGCGGGGCGCGCGCAGCATGGCGGAAGCGGAAGGGAGTTCGCCGCTCCTGTTGCCGCCGCCGCCACCCCCGCCCGGGATGGCGGAAGTGGAGGTGCCGACGGCGGCCGAGACGGACAAGAAGCAGTTCAGCGGCTCGGGCAGCAGCGCCATGGACGTGGACCGGAGCCGCTTCCCCTACTGCGTGGTGTGGACGCCCATCCCGGTGCTCACGTGAGTCTCCCCCCGGCGGCCACCCGGGGACGCGGAGTGTCGGGCGGCCCCAGGCCAGCCTCCGGTTCCGACGCCCTGCAAGCCCTTCTCTAGGGTCCGGCCCGCACTCCTCGCCCCCTGCGCGGAGCCAGTTTCTGCTGACGAATGGGACACGCTCCTCACCCTCGTTACACCTGGTCTAGTCAGGGAGAGAGGCAATTGTAGACTGGCGGGAAAGGTTCCGTGGCTGGGAAGCTCAGGACCTGTGGGCGTGCAGAAGAGGGGCCCCTTACCTGGTCTGAGGAGACATCTCCATTCATTCACTGCTTTGTTCATTCATTGAGCAAATGCTTGCTGATCACTTCCTGTACGCAAGAAGACGGAGTCCCGGGGCGAGAGTGGGAGTGTGGCTGTGACCACACCGCTTCTTGGGATGTCAACATTGAAAAGGCCCCCAGAGATCTGGGAGTCCAACCCTTTGTCTCAAAGATGATGAGCCTGGAGATCACATACCATTTCGGTTCTAAGGCGAGTTTAGGTCCCAGAGTGTCTGCCTCTCAAAGCAGTGTTCCTTCTGTGGCCTCGTTTTTTGTCAGGAGAGAGAGCAGGTGCTCCTGTAGTTCTGCCGCCTGTTTTAGTGGGGAGCTTCTGGGTTGGGGGGGAGCTGGCTTGCTGTCCTATTTCAGCCTTGACAACTGATGAAAACCACACAAAACCTCACAGTTTCTCTGAATTTCACAGTCACTTTCTAAGGTGGGAATTTCTCTGATGAAGAAGCTGGGCTTCCTCTGCACCATTAAAGGTCTGGATCAGGTTCACATGCCAGTAAGCAAGGGCATCCCAAACTCAATCTTCTGACTCCACAACATGCTCTCTTTTGACTACTTCCCCTCACCTGATGAGAGAAATTTGTTCCCTCCATCATAAAGAGCCAAGTGGTGGTGTGGAGAAGGGATGGTTTTTTGGCTTTATATGTTGCTGATCCAAAAATGACTTTAATTTCTGTATCACGTTAAAATGCTTCACTTGCTTTGTGTTTTCAACTGCTTATGCATTTGTTTAAAGCATCCAAGTCTGAATCCTTTAAAAATAAAAATTTTAAGAAAGAGTGTTCATTTATTCATTGAGTGTGCTTGTAACACATTTGCTCAGTGACCCCTTTGTGCCTAGAGTAGTTCTGAGTGATAAAGATTTGAAGAGACAAAGCAGATATGGTGCTTGCTGTCATAGAGTTTAAATCATGGTGGAAGGAGATACACAGTAAACAATAAGCTAATAAGAGAACTTCTGATAATAGTGCTATGAAGAAAATAAAATGGCAACATGAGAATAACTGGAAGAGATAGGGAATATATTGGTTTTGCTAAAAACCTGTCTTGGTTTTGTTTGTTTGTTGTTTTTTAATTTTTTTTTTTTTTTTTTTGGTGTTTATTTTTGAGAGAGAGACAGAGTGCAAGCAGGGGAAGGGGCAGAGAGAGAGGGAGACAGAATCTGAAGCAGGTTCCAGCCTGAGCTGTCAGCACGGAGCCTGATGTGGGGCTTGAACCCATGAACTGCGAGATCATGACCCGAGCCAAAGTCGAATGCTCAACCAACTGAGCCACCCAGGCGTCCCCTGAAACCCATCTTGTTTTCTTAAGATCTCTTTGGCTTTTCTCGGTTCTCAGAAACACATTCATAGAGTCCTCTGCTCTTCAGAGAACTGATAGCAACATAAGGTCGAGGCACATTGATCCCCAGTCATCTCGGCTAGAAGCAGCTCACACCCCCTTTTTATTCACATCTATATGCATGCGTTCATAAGATAAATAAGCCATAGTTTCCCTGTCAAACCTCCAGCAGGAGGGGGAGAGAGAGATGACCTAACCATTGTAGTGCATTGTGATGATTGCTGACCTAGAGTGCAGAGCTAGGAATAGATGTGGCACAAGGAACCGTCATGTGTCTTTGGAAGGGGGATCAGAAAGGAGGCAACTGAATCCAAAGATTTGTCCACCCCCTCAGAGATGTTGATAATTCTGCATGAAAAGCCAGATGATAGATGCTGCTACTAATAAAAGCAGCTAAGATTGGATACGAACTCTGTTCTCGGCTCTATTCTAAACATTTTATATTCATTATCTTGTTCAGTCCTTACATCAACCTAATGAAAATAGATACTGTCATCCCCGTTTTATAGATGAGGAAATAAAGGCTTAGAAGCTAGTATGGGGCTTTTTCCACTGAGACAGTCTACCTTACCAGGTAGAACTCTCTAGGGTCAATACCTGATTCATCCTTCCCTCCCTCCCTCCCTCCCTCCCTTTCTTCCTTCCTTCCTTCCTTCCTTCCTTCCTTCCTTCCTTCCTTCCTTCCTTCCTTCCTTCCTTCCTTCCTTCCTTCCATGAATAGTATTGAGGGTCTATTATGTACTAGGTCTAAGTAGACAGTAGTCCATAAAGCCACCTTGGAGCTTGCCTTCATGGAGCTTCCAGACAGACAACTACTTGGAGAGTTGTTGTCTCCAGCCTCTACTCTGATTTGTGACACAGCTGTGGTATGTGGGGTACTGGTCAAACCAGATGAAAGGAATTGGCCGAAAGAATTAGGCGGGTGAGATCAGGGTCTGAGAAGCCAGAGGAGCTACTTTCCTGTAATTCTCAGTGTCCATCCTGTGGCCACTGTGGCTGTTCAGCAACTTACTCTATGCCAGTCTGGCCAATTAGATAGCAAGTGTTTATCATAAACACCTCATGGTAACAACATTGAGCAACTACCAAATGCAAAGAAGTGTGTCAAGCACTTTGCAAACATAGCCTACTTAATCCTCACAACAATTGCCCCACGTTGAGGTAATTATTACTCTCCACCCCTCACTGACAAAGTTGGGAATGAGTAACTTGCCCAAAACAAAGACGCAACCCAGCTCTGCCGTCAGAGCCTGACTCCACTCTTAAATGCAGGACATTGATTTATTCATCATTTATCAGTCAATGAATTCATGGCTCCAGCTGCGTGCCAGGCACTGCTCTGGGGACCATAGTAAATAAGAAAATCCCTGCTCTCTTGGAGCTTCTATACACGGGAGAGACAGACAGTAACCGTGTAAGTAAACAAGATGATTTCGGGTAGCAGCAGATACTGTGAAGAAGTTAAAGCAGAGGAATGAGATCTGGGGTGGTATATGGCTGTTCTAGAAGGCCTGGCCAGGGAAGCCCTCCCAAGTTGATAGTTAAGCTGAGGCCTAAATGATGAGAGGCAGCCAGCTGTGTGAAGATCTAGGGGAAGAGTGTTCCAGATGGAGGCAAATGCAAAAAGAGCATTGAGGTGGGAGGATTTGGTGTGTTTGAGGAACCAGAAGCAGACAGCAGCTAGAAAGAGGAGTGAGGTTATTTCAAGGGATAGGCAGGGCCAAACTGTCAGAAGGAGTCTTAAGTGCATGTTAAGTGTCATAGGAAGCCATGAACGGGTGTTAAGCAAGGGAATGATGGAACCTGAATTATGTTCTCAAAAGACCACTCTGGCCGCACCACCCTTTCAGATGCCTGGGCTGCAGACCTAGGAAGACCTCTGTCTCATCAGTCATAAAACCGCCCAGTGTGCCTTTTAAGGACCTTTTGAACCCATTTTTCTCACCACCCTACCAGCAATACTCTAGTTAGCATCTCATCTCTGGCCAATATTCCAGAATAGCCTCTGAACTGGCCACGCTTCTTCCCTCCACTCTCGTCCCCTCACGTTCTCCAGACACGTGCAGCACTTTGCTGCTTTGGAGTTTTGCTTTCATCTGCCTGTTGACATTCTGTCGTTTCACAGGCCATGGTTAAAAGTGACGTGCTCCGTGAAGGTCTTTGCTAACTGCCCCAGCCCCTAATAATCGCTTCCCTCCAGGTTCGGCCTCCACCTCCCTAGCAAGGTGCAGCTTTGAACCCAGCACTTGGCCACTGGCCCTGTAACGAGTCCTTTGTTTTGTCCCCTGTGAGTCCTTAAACTGGATCAGTTGGTCCAGCATCTAGGTAGAGCCCAGAATACCATGGTTCTCACACTACAGACAGCTTAGGGGTTCCTGTATGTTTTGCATATTGGGGTCCAACTGAAATTTGGTTTTTAAAAAATTTGAACTTTAAAAGTTCCTGGAATATACCATGCTTTTATCCGTATCTTTTATCGTTCCTCTTACTGTTATTTTCCTTAGAGCAGCCTTCCCTAAAACCTTACCCACCAATCCCCGCCCCAAACCTGCACACAGATTGGTTTAAATGCCCTCCACTTTTTTTAAAGCTTTTTTACTGAGATATACACCATAAAGGGGACAAATCTTAAGTACGTGGCTCAATGATTTATACATGTACTTTTTTTTAAAGTTTATTTAGAGAGAGAGAGTGTGTGTGTGTGTGCTTATTGTGTATGGCAGGGAGGCAGAGGAGGGGCAGAAAGATAATCCCAAACAGGCTCCACACTGTCAGTGCAGAGCCTGACACAGGGCTCAAACTCACAAACTGCTAGATCATGACCTGAGCTTGAGAGCATACCAGAGCGGACACCCAGCTTCACCTGGGCCCTCGGTGCCTCTTATACATGTACTTTTATGTAAGGTTTCTTTCACTGCCTAATGTCTTTGAGAAGACAAACTTTTAGTAAATAATGAAGTTTGCGTTTCTTTTTTTCATTAGTACATACTATTTCATTTTATGACTATACTCTAATTTACTTACTCCTTTTAGTATTGTTAGACATTGGATTACTTCTAGGTTTTTTTTTGGTAATCAACTTTATTAGGTGCCTGATTGGTCATTCTGAAAGCATCTCCTTTATTGGATCATGATTCTTGAGTTAAATTAGGGTTTAGAGCCCCTCAGTCAAGATACTGCTGTCGCCGAGTGTACTCTTCGAACTCACTTACTGTCCCCTTCTGTCTCTGCCCCTTATCTCTCTCAGAATAAATAAATAAACTTAAAAAAACAACATTGAGGGGGAAGTATGTGGAAAGGCTGGCAGTTAAACAACAGGTGATGGGGACTAAGGAGGGCACTTGTGATGAGCACTGGATGTTGTATGTAAGTGATGAATCACTGAATCTCCTCCCTGAGGCTTAACAGCTGCACTATGTCATGTTAACTAGCTGGGAATTCAAAAACTATGAAGGGGGGAGAGGAAGTGCATTTGTTAAGGGGTATAATGTATATACAATAAACTGCACACATTCTAAGTGTGCAGTTCAGTGACTTTTGACAAATGTTTCCAGCTATTTTGAATGAAGGTGCCATGAATGTTCATGCACATGGCATTGGTGGACATAAGGATTTGTTTCTGTTGGGTGTATGCTCTCAAGTGGGATTGTTGAGGGGCACCTGGGTGGCTCAGTTGGTTAAGCATCCGACTTTGGCTCGGGTCATGATCTCATGGTTCGTGAGTTCAAGCCCCACATCGGGCTCTGTGCTGACAGCTCAGAGCCTGGAGCCTGTTTCACATTGTGTCTCCCTCTCTCTCTGCCCCTCCCCCACTCATGCTCTGTCACTCTCTGTCTCTCAAAACAGGAATAAATGTTAAAAAAATTTTTTTTGAAGTGGGATTGCTGAGGCATATAGCCTAATTGCCAGTTTTTGAAGGCAGTAAAAACGCCCTCCAGCAACGGAGAAGAGCTCCGGTCACCCCCCACCCTCACCACACTCCACGTGATTGTCCTTTGGGTTCAGCCATTCCGTGGCGTGCAGTGGTGTTCCATTGTGCTGTTCATTTGTACTTGCCCCTCTTTTCTTGCTTCCCCAGTCCTCCCGGCCACCCTAATTGGCACTCACTATATAAAATTATTTTCACATATTCTCACACCGGATGGAGTGTCCCCAGTGTCTGTCTGACTAGCTGGAAAACCCCCTAAGCCCTGTACCTTCCCTGTCCTTTTTTCACAGGTGGTTTTTCCCCATCATCGGCCACATGGGCATCTGCACATCCACAGGAGTCATTCGGGACTTTGCAGGCCCCTACTTCGTCTCGGTGAGTTCCCACTCTGCCCACCTCTGGTGGGCTCCAAGGCTTAAGCGGAAGGCTGGCCTGTCTTGTCTGAAGCAGCCTTCCAGTCTCCCCGAGGCCCAGGAGAATGCAGGCCCCATACAGTCCTGGCCCTGGCCCTCTGCTCTTCACCAGTGTTTGACCCCTTTCCCCCTTCTCTTGCCTCCAGGACAGGCCAGGAGGGCACTGTGGCCAGAAGGATTCTTAACTAACTGACCCAGTCCTTTGCCCACCCCTGGGGTACCAAGACATGGGTAGGGGTTAGAGGCAAGAGTGGAGAGTCAGATCATCCAGGAAGCACATCTCTGGACCTTCAGAAGGTGGGAGTCACAAGGTGGGGGCACAGGGGAGGCTGACATGGTTCCCCGGGTATGGCCACGGAGAAGAGGAGGTGGGGCTTGTAGAGTGAATCCACTGTGTTCTTAGGTCTGTTTCCTGGGGATGTGCCCAAGATGGGTACGGTGGGCTTCCTCCAGATGAGTGGGCAGCATCCTGCCTGTTGGCAGGTGGCAGCTTCATCTCCGTTATGGGCTGGAATGAAGAGATGTGGTGGTACCAAGATGTTTATATTAATAGTTGTCGTGATCATCTTAACATGACATAGGTCTTTTACTCGTATATTTTTATAGCAATTCATCTTTGACCAGCTCTGTCAGCTGGTCTTCCTGATTCTGAACCCAGCATCTGTCCCCGCATAACTCCTGTACCCAGATCTTATGCGGCAGGTCCAGGACTTGAGTGAAACATGTCCCTCCTAGGAAGCCTCTCAGGCCCCCTCCCCAACCCCTAGTCGTGCTCTGAATGCAGGCAGGCTGCCACTGCGTGGGCCACCACCGTTGGGTCAGGAGCGCAGAGGGTGTTGTCATTTTTACCACCGAGGGGACTGCCTCCCTGTGATCAGTCAGAGGTTGACTGGAGAACTTGGAGCAAATGAGGGCCAGAGAAGGTGAGAAAATTGCCTGGGAGCCGTAGAGAGGGGCAGTTGTGGCGGCCCCTCCAAGTCTCGGGTTTCTGTGCACTCCTGCCGCAGCGCTGTCTTCTCACAGAGAAACTGCTGCTGGCACCTCAGCTGCTGTGGCAGCCCCAGAGCAGAGCCCAGCCCCACTTCTGCCCGCCTGTCATACCCCCTCCTAGTCCCTGCACTTCCACCGCTGACCAGGTCTGTCTGCCAGGCTAGATGCGCGTTCTCCACTGACTTCTGCACTTTTCCCTCAACAGGAAGACAACATGGCCTTTGGGAAGCCTGCCAAGTAAGTGAAGAGCACCCGTGTGACTAGCCCTAGGGCCAGGCTCCTGCACGAAGCAGCAGGGCAGGCTTTCTGAGACACAGCAGGAGCCAGCCCCCTGAGGAGGGGGCGAGGGGAAGGGTGGCCAGGCCCCACCAGAGCATACAGCCTGTGCCAAGCGTCTTCCTGCACCAGTCGCTGGCTGGGTCCTTTACCTACACTCCGCCTACACTCAGAGACTTTGTCTCAGCTCTGCTAGGTCATATTCAGCTCCACTGGAAGGATGAGGAAAGACAAAGGTCTAGTCAAGATTGCACAGGAAGTAACAGAGCTGAGACTCACACGCAGGTGTCTCATTCCAAAATCTAGATTCTTCTGCCCCTCAGGAGTGAACAAGCCATTTAAGGTGTAAGGAGGCACTGTTTGGAATTCTGGTTAGAGAAAATAAAAGTAGTCAGGTCCTCTAGGAGCTATTGTTATACTTTGCTTGGGATTTTTGGTCTTTGTCTTGTCTTTTTCTTTTTCTTTTCTTTTCTTTTCTTTTCTTTTCTTTTCTTTTCTTTTCTTTTCTTTTCTAAGTAATCTCTACACCTAATTTGGGGCTTAAACGCACAACCCCCAAGATCAAGAGTCACATGCTGCACCAACTGAGCCAGCCAGGCACCCCTTTATTTTCTCTGTCTTGGGGGCCCACCTCAGCTATGGGCCTAGTGACAGTGCTTCAGTCAGTATGCACAGAACAGTCCCTATGGTCTGAGGCTGCCCCCGCTTGGTCAGGTCCCAGGGAGGAATTGGTATCCCACACAGCAGAGGCAGCCTGAAAGTGGCTCCCTGACCCCTGCTTACTTCCTCAGGCAGGTGGAAATGTTGGCCAGGGACCTCTGGGCTGTATGTCTGCTGCAAGGCTGCTTTTCGAGGTCAATTTTCAGGGTACCCCTTCCCAGACAGGAGCCTCCGAGCAGCCCCAGTCCATGCCCTGCCTCTAGGCTCCTCCACCAAGCCATTCCCCACACAACCGCCAGAGGGCACCCTGCCCTCCCAGCACTTCCTGACTTGAGACCCTCTGGGCACTCCCTTGCTTGGAACAGCCGGTCTCAGCTTGAGGTCTGTGAGCTTTCAGCTCCATGGGCTCTTCTCCCCCTCACCCCCGTCGGGCATTTGGGGGAGGGAGGGACTAGGAGAATGCTGCTTGCGAATAAACTCAGGGTGACATTCACATCCCCCACGACATGGCCCCACCTGCATCTCCCAACTCACCTTCCAACGTCCCATCGCTCTGTTTCTCCCTGTGAGTCCCCCAGCAGTGCCCAGCCACTTAATTCCTGGTGCACCCCGCACAGTCTTGTGCCTCTCCCTCTGTTCAAGCTCCTTCCTCTGGCCAGCGTGCCCATTTCCTCTTTTGTGCGTGGCTAACCCCTCTTCCTTCAAACTAGACTCAGATGTCACCCCAGAAGCCTCTCATACCCCCCACATCAGCTAGTCTGTATCTTCCCCAGGATCCACATGGCACTGGGCATGTCACACTGGGTTACAGTTGTCCACCGTGTGGCTCTCCCTGGACTCGCCTCACCCCTACAGCCTCAGCACCCAGCTCAGGGCCCTGCACAGAGCAGGCGTCAGGGAACATCTGTGAAGCTGAGTGACCGTAACAGAGGTGAGCCAGTGCCCAGAACTCCCTCTCTCTTCCCAGGTACTGGAAGTTGGACCCTGCTCAGGTCTACGCTAGTGGGCCCAACGCATGGGACACCGCCGTGCACGACGCCTCTGAGGAGTACAAGCACCGCATGGTAGGTGAGCTGCTCCTCAGAGCGGGAGCCAGGGTGGCAAGGCCCCCACAGCCCAGCCTGACCCAGCCCTTCCTGCGTCTCTAGCACAGTCTCTGCTGTGACAACTGCCACTCACATGTGGCGTTGGCCTTGAACCTGATGCGCTATAATAACAGCACCAACTGGAATATGGTGACGCTCTGCTTCTTCTGCCTGCTCTATGGGAAGTACGTCAGGTGAGCTGTCCACCTACTGCTCACCCCTGGGGCTGCTCTCTCCCGAGGATCCCAGCAGGGCCATTGTGGAGTCCTGTAGCCAACAGGGACAAAGCAGATGCTGGTTGGAGCCATGAAATTTCTAGAGCGACTAGCTGAGTTCCTGGTGGAGAGGAAAGTGACTCTGCTGAAGTTCACCTCCACCTGGGTCCCACCCGTGACATCTCAGCCACCTGCCTTGGCCTCTCTAAGCTGTAACCCCCCCCCCACCCTTGATAAAATGGAGATC